GGGGGGGGGGGGGAGAGGGGATTCAGTTGGGAACTATTCACCGCTAAGACTCCTGTCAGCATTGACATAAATTTCCACTGGTGTTGGCATTTAGGCATTTGCCATTTCCATATGTATAGGGCTGCCTGTACTAATTATGCTAATCACCCCCTCTGTTGGCTGCTGTGAAAAATGGCCACATTAGGCACTCCACTGCTTGCTAATGTCACTTAATGTGTGGTTGAAACATACATTCATCCCCCTCTGAATGGTGAAATTTTTCCACATTGCTGGCTTCATTCAGGCAAGAAATGAATTTTTTGAACTCAGACCACTTTTCCAGGCCCGAGGGAGAGGCAGATAATAAAACCCTCTTCTTGGGCCTTGGCGCTGCCCCCTCCCAGCCGCCAAATAACATTTAAAACACACAAAAAAAGAGCCCCTTCCCTAAGTCCGTAGATATGTCCAAGTTAAAAAAAAAAAGAGGTTTAAAAAAAAGGAAAAAAAACACTTTCTAGGAATTAAAAAATATGTATCAGTTGAAAAGCAAAGCAAAATGGATAGGGGCAGATAAGCCACAGCCATCTGTAGAGTCTTCCAGTCTCTTTGAGTTAATTAGCAAAATTTTCCAGCCCAAAAAAGCTGACCAAGCTGTCAAGGAAGGGAAAAGGAAGAGCAAGAGATTTTGCATTCACCTCCCAAAAATAAATAAATAAAGGTGAACTGCCTGGACCCCATCTTCTGGTGGGTGGGGGGCTACTGGGTGACGCTCCTTCCCTCCACCCCTTCTCGAGAAGAAAGGTTCTTTCAGAGCCAGAAGGGACTTTGGAGCAGAGGAGAGAGCCAGGAAGGCAGGTTTTTGGAATAACAGGGATCTCAGCATTTCATGGCAGCAACACCCCAGCTGCTCCTCCCTCCTCCAAGCCCCCGAGGATAGGGGCACAGTGTCCCCACAGATACCCAGACCCTGCAAACAGAGAGAACAGCATTGTCCTGAAGGTAAAATCCTGCCAGACCAGGCAAGACAGTGCCCAGGCACCCCAGGCTGTCCCTTTCCTTCCTGCAAAGCAATGTGTCATCACACCCCAAGAGAAATGGGGACCCTCTTCCCCAGGACACTCATCTGGAGACAGAGCAGGGACATAGCAGTCCAGGAGCCACCCCATAAAGTGAATCCATCTCTGGCCAGATCCCAGCAGGCATCCTACTGCCCCAGACCTGGGGACAAACTGCCATGAGAGCCCCTCCAACCTGTCAGCACCAGCCACACACAACCCCCCCAGATTCACCCACTCCTTTCTCAGCCCCTGCACAAACATCCCACCCCACAAACCCACCCACCCAGCAAGGAGACCACCCAGGAATGGCTGTGGCATCCCACTCACCCCCACTGCTGCTGCCCCACACCCCTCCATGGGACCCATCCAGCACAGTGGAGACAGAGGCTGGGAAGAGGGGCCACACAGACAGTGGTGAGGGCATTCAGTCCTGTCCTTGGCTTCCTGTTGGGGCTCTCCCATTCCCTATGCCCCTCTCTCTGCAAATACAGTCAGCCAGCATCTCCTCTCCATCTTGCCCTGCTGTGGGGGGAGCTCCAAGCTGCATCCCAGCCCTGTCCTGGGTGCTGAGGAAGCGATGCCCTGTGCCAAGAACTGTTGCACGGGTCAAGGAAGGACAGAAGCCACTGCCAAGAAGGATAAGGTTGTCTCAGCTTTATGCCCCAAGATGAGAACAAGGGAAAAAATTCCCCTCACCCTGTAAGATGCGTCCTATTTCATCCCACCAGCACATTCGGGATGTCCATGACCCCTCCAGGAAAGGGACAGAGTCTTCTCCAGGGAGACTCAGCAGCTCTTTGAGAGCGCGACGGCTGTGCGGGGCGCTTGGCTGTTCCGGTTAGGAATTAACCCGGCCTTCCTTTGAACCAGCCCTCAGCGCTATAAATCAGGCAGACCCATTCACCACCCAGGGCTCTGCCTGCCCAGAGCTCGCCTCCCTGGCCCCTTGGCCCTAAAGACGCCCTGGGAGAGCCAGGAACAGCTGCCAGGTGTCTAGAGGTAACTCAACACTTGCCGCTAGCCAGGATTTCAAAGCCTCCGAGTGGCTAATTGCTTCGGAGGAGACTAATTGAACATTTCCACAATCGAGTCCAATTTATGGGGTGACATAGCCTCCTTCCATCTCCCAAACAGGGATACAGGTCAGACATAACCCCAGAACGCCACAAGAACCCCTCAGGCAATCCCCTGGTCTAAGGACATTCCCAGAACTGGGACAGGGGACCCTCTGCTTTCCTACAGTGGCCGGAGTCACAGCCGAGGCTCAGGAGGACATACCATCAGCATGACCCCAGTCGTGGGCACAAAGCAGGGCTGCCCACCCTATTCCCGTTTGGGGAGGAGGGGTATGGGACATCAACACCATGTTCCCATGGGAAGCAGCTTCCTTCCCTCCCCTGCTCACCAGGATCTCAGCTCCCAGAGATCTGAGCTCAGCCTGCAGTGGGGACTGCCTGGCACAGGATCACACTGGGACTTGACCTGCGTGGGGCACTTTGTGCGCTGGAGCATCACCACCCGCATCCCTCAGCCTGGCTAGGCAGAGGCAGATGATTGGGTGCAGTCACCAGAGGCTTCCTGGAACCTTAAGCCACCCTGCCCCTTAGCTGGGACCCACTGGGCTAGGACTATGGGCCTGGGATTCCCTGCACACATACCCTGCCCCTTAGACACTCTACAGCACTGTCTCAGGGCTGGGATGAACCGCACTCCTACAAACATCTCACAAAGCCAGAGGAAGCAGGTCCCCAGCACCCTGGTGATCCCAAACACTTGGAACCAAGCTGATGAAATACCAACTTTGCCAGCCAAGGAGCAAGAACTGCGCTGCTTCAGCCTGGCTGTGGTACCACAGCACTGGAGAGGACACACACTCCAACACTACTGCACACGTGGGAACGTGAGAAAGTAGCAGCTGAGAAAAATCCCAAAGCAGCTTCAAGTGCTCTGGATCCAACCACAGAATCTGGGAAATTGTGTCCCACTCTCCAGGGACATGCCAGGCCCTCCTGTGCCCTGATAATGCCCATCCCCACACCAGCAGGATGGGATGCAGTGATCAGGGTTGGGCATGTGTGGGGGATACTTTGATCTCCTCAGAAAATGCAGAAGCTGCAGCTGGCAGTGAGGCAAGGACCTACAAATGGTTATGGGGAAGGGAGGAGCCCCACAGCTGATACACGAAAATGAGAGTGTCACCACAAACCTTCCACATCCTGACCCGTGCATGCCTGCCAGGGACCCCATGGGACTAAAGCCATCTCAGACACATCGTCATTGGTGGTCGCAGGTTGTGCCAACGCCTGAGGACGCTGGGGCTGTGCCACCCAGGAGCAAGGCACGGAGGGGTCTGCCCCAAGTGCACACTCCCAGGGGAAGAGCCCTCCCAGGAAGGATAAGAGTGGGCTCCGAGCAGCACCCTCGGCATCGCACACCGTCATCAACCAGGCACCACAGATCCAGAGCACGGGCTGTGCGCAGACCCCAGTGCACCCATTGCCCGGGAAGGGGCAGGACAGCGGGGTTCCACCACGGAGTTAAAAAAAAAAAAATTAAATCCAACTCCTGACACTGAAGAAGATGAGAAGCCATGAGAAAGAAAAGGTTTCTGAGAGAGGCCCCCAGCACCTACACTACAGCCAGACCGCAGTGTGGAGGAAATCCCCCAAGACCAGCCGCAGTCGCTCCCGGATGTGCCCGTGCGGGCAGGGAAGCACAGCGGGGCACAGGAAAAGCCGGGTTTCTGGGCGCTTGCAGCCGTCCCCAGGCTTGGCCCCTTCCCCATCCCGCTCTCCACCCTGATGTGCCGCAAGTCCCATTCCCCTTAACAGGAACAACCACAGCCGCTTTCCTGGCCACAGTTCTACAAAACGCTGACTCCTTGCTACCCCAAAAGCACAATAAAAATTCAATGGAGCCGGAGCCACGACCCAGAGTGAGGGAACCAGGGAAAGAGCACGTCCCTCCTTCAGCAGCCACAGCTCAGGCGCTGGCTGGACCGGGAGGTATCACTGGATTTCTCTGCTACGTGTTGCAGTGGAAGGGGGTGATGGAGACGAGATCTGGGGAGGGGGGGGACACAAACATCCCTGGGGAGTGGGGAGCAGGTGGGAGAGCCGGGCATTCCTGGGCAGGGGTCCGTGGGTGCATCTGTGTGCAAGCAGCCAGGGAGCGCAGACCTTTTTTTTTTTTTTTTTTTTTTTTTTTAAAAAAAAAAAAAAAAAAAAAAAAAGGGGGTGGGAGAGCAAAGTTGCTTCTATTGTTGAACCAAATCCAAGAGTAGCTGAGGACCACACAGGGAGCGGGGCGTGGGGGAGGAGGCAGCGCTCCCGCACAAAGATGGCTGACACCCCTCCGCTGAGCAACATCTGCCCCTGCACAGCACCCCGCGGGGACCCCGCCCGGGGGATCCCCCCGCCGCGCCCGGCGGCACGGACCGGGCTGCGATTCGGGGTGCTGTCCCCCCCGGGGGCCTCCCAAAGCCGAAAGGAGGTGCAGGAAAAGCAAATCCCAGACCCGTGAAGCGGGGCTGCAAGGATCGGGGACAGAAAATCCACGCTGGAGTTATTAATAACAAAGGAGGGGGATCAGCCGCTTCCACTCGGAAACCGGGATTTGCTCCCGCCTGACCCTGCCCGCGCTCCCGTTCCCCCCGGGCCGGGGTCCCGGGCCGGGACTGGCGGCTCCGCGGCGCCGGCTCTGCTCCGGCGCAGGGCTGCGGCCGTCCCCGGGGGTTCTTCCCACCGGGAATGGGGTGTCCAGCACCATCCCTCTCGCACGTGTCTGCACTTTCGCGGGGAGATCCCCGTCGGGACACGCGTGGGGGTCCCTCTGCAGCCCAGCATCACGCACCCGCGCAAGGCGCAGCCCGAGCGGCCGCGCACACGGGATCCTGGCTCGTGGGCTCCCACAGCCCTGTCCTTCGCGGTCCCGGTGGCGGGAGCCCGGCAGCGGCATCCTCATCTTACTCCTCCCGCCCCGCTCCCGCGCTGTCACCTGCCTCCCGGCCGGCCCCGCACTCCGCGCCGCGCGTGGGGGACAAAGCCGCGGCCGGGAGCGGGACCGGGACCGTTCCCACGGGCGGCCGAGCCCGCAGGGCCGCGCTTACCTTCCACCCAGAGGTGCTCGATGTCGGTCTCGATGGAGGCCACCCGTAGTCCCACGGCCAGCGCCCCGAACACCAGCAGCCCCACGAAGAGCACCTTCCCGCAGTGCCGCTGGATCCGGCAACCCAGGGCAAAGAGCAGCGCCTGAAAGCGGGCCCGCAGCCACAGCGGGGTCCTCTGGCCCACGGCCCTGCCCTGCGGAGGGGGCGAGGATCGGGTCAGCCCGAAAGAGGAGAGAGAACCCCTTCTCGGGTAAGGGGACCCGCAGCGGGGCGGGATGCCCGCGGCCGCCGCACTCGGCTGCGGAGCGGGACCTCGAGTGCCGGAGGTTTCTCGAGCCGGGGGACACGGGGGTCCCCGCACCCGCCCGGCCCGCCCCGGGCTCCTCCGCGTTCTCCGAACTCCCGTCCCCGGCCCTCAGCCCCCGCGAGAGCGGGCGATGCTCGCCCCTCACTCACCTCGGGCAGCGGCTTGCGGCGGGCGGCGCGGAGCGGCGGCGGCGCGGCGCGGGGGGGCTCGGCCGGCATGGCGGGGCGGCTGGCGGGGCTGGGCACCCCCCGTTATGTGGGGCCGAGCGCGGCGGCGGCCCCCATGCGCGCGGCGGGGCCGTGCCGGTGCCGGTGCGGATGGAGGGCTGTGTGTGCGCCGCCGGCCGCCCGCCGCGCCTCTAAAGGGGAGGCGGGGGCGGGGGGCGCCGGGGCCGCGCCGCCGCCGCCGCTCCCATTGGCCGCCGCCGCCGCGGCAGCGCCCATCGCCGCTGCTAAGCAACGGCGCGCCCGCCGCCGGCGGCCACACACCGCGCTCCCCCCCGCGCCGCCCCGCGCCGCACCGCACCGGCCCCGCCGCGGGGGGGAGCGCGGCGGCGGCGGCACCGGGGCATGGCCCGCGCCCGGGGCTGCTCCGCAACGCCGGCCTCGGCACCGGCAGCCCCCCACAGACGGCCCCGGGGATGGGCATCCCCGCTGTGAGCGGCCCCGAGGGTGGGTACGCAGCCCCCTCACCCCCCTCGGCCATAGCTGTCCCCTCGAGGATAGGTACCCGACAGAGTAAAGCATTCCCTGCATCCTTCTTCCACAGCTATCCTGCAAAGGGTAGGCAGCCCCCTGGAGATGCCCCAAGGGATGGGCATCCCTCCTAAGGGTGTCCCGAGGGCAGGGCGTTGTGCGCATCGCCTCTCTTCGAGTGCTGCACCCCCGCCCCCCCCCCCACTCAGCCATCCTCCTTGGTCCAGGCATTCCCCCATATCCTCCCTTCCCAGTGCTGGGCATACCTCCCCCAGAGCCATCCCAAGGGCCAGGCATCTTACCACAGCTACTTCCCAAGAGATAGGCAGCCCTCCTAAAGGCTGGATATCCCACTGTGGCCACCCCCCAAGGGCTTGGCAGCCTCCTTATAGCCATATCAAGGGGTAGGCAGTGCTCTCCCAGAGTCTGTGCATCTCTCTAACAGCCATCCCAAGGGATGGGCATCTCTTCTTCAAGACCTAGGTGTGCTTCCCTAAAGGACCAGGCATCGCAATTAATATCCTTTCCCAAGAAAATCTCCCCACCCCCAGCAAAGCAGGGTGTCCACTGACCCTCAGTACCAGCTGTGCTCCCCAAAGGCCAGATATTCCTCCAGGCCATAGTGGGGGCAGGAAGACACTCCACTCCTTAGGTGTACCCACAAGCACTGTCCCATCCCCTGCCATGGGGAGCCAACCCCAACACCCCAGAGCTGGAGGCAGGGGCAAAATAACCCCATCCATGGGGCTCAAGAAGTGCAAAAGGGCCAGACACAAATGACACCCATAATTTGTGGAGTGGCTAGGATTCTCTGCTCATTTCACTCCCTTCTCAGTTCTTTATTGGATAGACCTGGTGCTGCTCCCACTAGGAAAGCTGCCCGAAGGAGCTGCTGAGGGCACCCAGGAAGGTTGGTAAACGAACATAGAGCAGCACCCAACCCATGTGCAATCCCCTCATCACTCCTTGAGCAATGCCAGAGATGCTCAACCTCGTGTTTTCATGGCCAAAAATGGGGTACACCCCAATAAATAAGCTGAGTTCCTGGGGCAGTTTCTCCATGCCCCACAGTCACAGCCCCCACCAGTCCAGCATGCTGCTGCTGAGCTCTCCTGGGCCTTAGCAGCATGTAAAGGGTTTCTCCCTCGTCCAGCGATAGGCCTGTAGCATCTGGCGTGTCCCCAAATACAGAAGGGAAACGGCTATTCAGCACTTCTGCTGCCTGATTGCTATTAACAGCTCCACCATTCCCTTTCCCGGTGGACCCGCACTACTGCTGGGCAGCTGCAGCTTTTTATCAACTTAATATTTAAAAAGTAAGTTGTCATCTTCCTTTCCAGCATGGCTGGTTCCCCCACCCCATGTTCTCCATCAGCTTCCTATCTGTCATCATTGGTTTCCACCCGGGGCTCCCCCACCCCTGCCCTGCACCCTGGGAAATGTCATCAGTGTCCTCGGAAAAGTCATGGAATGGCCCATGGAGGCCGGCTCAATGTCTACCAGGACCTGAGCATGAGTTGGCTCTACCCCATCCCAGGGTATCAAGGGTTTCCCTAGGACATGGGCATCTGGTGCTACAGGATCAGCTCCCATGACCCCATCCTGGCTCACACATGCTGGCACCAGGATGCTGTGTCACAGAATCACCCCTGGCACCCCGGCCTGCTCCACACCATGCACCCTTGTTCCACCCAACCGCCACTGTGGTCCCCAGGGATCAGCTCTCCCCCAGGACCTGAGTACCCTGGCAGCACTGTCACAACGTGGTGACTTGCACCCCAAGCAAGAAGCCATAGGGCTTAGCAGAAGGGAGCTAGTTTGGGGATCCCACGATTTGCAGCGGGAGTGACAATACCAGTGACAGACCAGATCCTGCCACGCCAATAAGGATTGAAAACCAAAGTGGAAAACGCCTGTGGGCAGAACAGGGCTCCGCCTGCCCTGCCCTGACACCACAGAGATGAGCTTTGAGCTTTGAGTCTCTCTGCAGGGCACTTATTTCTCCCGGAGCCACCCGAAAGGAGACTGGGAGCCCTGCAGGCCACCGGCCTTGGGGGAGCAGGATGGGGAGCAGGAGCTCGGCTCGCACGCAGGGAGACTTCTCCTGCAGCTTCTTGCTGACCGGCTGTTTTATATCAAGGCGGGAGGGGGGATTTGCTGTTCTAGATGGTATTTTAATGGGCAGGCAGGCAGCTGGAGCCTGGGAGAAGCCTGCTTTACATTGTTTGGGGTTGTAACAAATAAATTCAATTAAAGGCAAATGGCTCCGCGCAGCCCCCACCCTGCGCAGTGTCTCTGTGGCACTGGTGCCTGCGGGAGCCCCGCACAGGGGCCACCCGGGGCTCTGCCCACCCTCGCCCCTCGGGCCCACCGCAGGGAGATGCTGGGGTGAGCTGGCAGGATGCGGTGGGAACTGGGAAGTGCAGGGCACTGCACCCACAGAGTACCCACAGAGAGGATGGAGTGTCCGGGGAGTCCACCCTGTCCCCACACTGCGTGTCCCACCCTGTTGAGCAAAGGAGATGTGAAAATCCCCGTGGCAGGAGCCCTGCCCCAGCGAACACTCCTCAGGAAGGGCAGCCCAGGACAACAGCCTCGGCGGGCAGCAGCATCCTCCGGGCAAGCAGAGACTGGGCAGAGGCTGGGGCTTGGAACTGAGCTTTGCAGGGCCACCATGCAGCCCCAGAGCCCCATGGCCGGGAGGAGAAGCTGAGGGGACTTGGCAGGGACATGCCAGAGCCTCAGCACGCTGTAAACAGCCGCTGCCGCAGCAGCAACTCCTCTGCCGGGAGCCAGCGCCGGGCGTTAGTTAGTTGGAAACCAGATGGTGCTTTCCCAACCACCGGCACAGCCCGCTGGCCACGGCCCGGAGCCAAGCACAGGCTCTCAGGGACCCCAGGGCTGCACAGCACCCAGAACTGGGACCCAGAAGTGGACAGAGAGCTGGGGGTGCAGGAAAGGCCCCACAGATGGACAAGGAGTGTCAGTGTGTCTCCGGCCCCACTGCTTCCTCAGCCAGCACCGTGTGTGTGTCCCTTGTGCAAGGGATGGAGAAGGGAGGCAAAATCCACCAGAAAGGATCAGAAATAGGGTGTTAACATTCTTAAAATACTTGTGCATCTCTGTGTACCACACCGTGCCTCAGTTTCCCTGTGCCTCCCAAACCGCAGGGAACAACCAACAGCTGGTCCACAGGTCAGACTCCACCTCATCCCCCAGATAGGGATAAAATAGCAGGGAAGCGATAAAGCCCCATCTCTGAGGCCAGGGAAAGTCTGAGAAGTCCCTGGCACCCCACACCTGGAGTAACTCTCCATGGGAAATACAACATGGAACACAGACAGCAAGCCCCCATCCCAGCACCACCAGCAGGACCTGGGGCTCCCAGCTTTTCCCCACTCCTCAGTGGTCTTGGGAGCAGGTGCACCAAGGGGGTATAGTGGACCCATCCCAGCCCTGAGATTTTAGTGGGGGGGGTCTGCAACAAGAAGACAAACAGTCGGAGCTGGGGAGGGGCCAGAGGGAAGGACGGCATCCCTGGTAGTCGTGGCGGGGGTCCTGTGGTGTTTACAGAGCTTAAAACCCGCCTAAGCCCCGCAAGGCCACAGCGCACAATAGTGTGTGGACGTGGTGACACCGGCCGTCCCCACACCACCTTGGAAGACAGAGAGCCCTGCCACCCACCGCCAGCACCGGGATTAATTATGATAATGTAGTTCTTTCCCCCTTTGTCACCCTAATGAATGGGCCCCTTTAGGATTTTAAGGCCTTTGTTTGGTGCCTCTTTACTGCGGTATTGTAGGATGGGGACTAGCAGGTGGCAGGTCCCCAAACAGCCCCTTTTGTCTCCTTTGGGGGCTGTTTTGTGGTGGGGTTGGGGAGGGGGATGCGAGGATGCAGGAGCGGGGGTGTGCTGCAAGGGAGCTCCTGGACGGAACCCTAGCACCCACGCCATCGCTGTGGGACCGTGACACCCCATGCTGTGCACCATGGCTTTGGGGATTGCTGGCCCCGGCCATGCCCCGAGCCACCCGTGCCCCGGCCTGCTCAGTGGGCAGATGCGGGGAGCCACCGTCTGAGCCCCTGCCTTGATCTTTTACTGCCTGGGCAAATCAATTACCCAGCAGAAAAGTCCCTAAATCCCACCATAAAACCCGTTTAGCAGCCACGGTGGCGCTCGCCAGACCCTGGGCAAACCTCGCCCTATGCCGGCATGGAGCTGGAGCGATTTTCTGCGGGGACAGTGGGTAACTGCTGCCGGGGAAGGTCGGGCTGCAGGCGCAGCTGCACAGCATCTCCCCACTCCCAGGAGGCAGATGGGAGCTCTCCAGGAGTCCTGGCTGTGCTCAGACCCTTCCGAGACCTCCACACTCTGTGCCCTTCTGCACCAGCTTGTCCCCCTCCACATCCCCTGAGTGCAGGAACAGCTCGGGATGTGACAGCACCAGGCATGGCACTGGGGACCAGGGACAGACAGACGAGGTGGCACAGACGCACAGGGATCAGGGACAAGGCAGGGCACA